TCGCCCCCCAGGCGCTCGCCCTCGGCACTGACGGCGCCTGCGTGAGCATGGGCGTGCCCGCCGTCGGCGATTTCGGCGCGAGCTCGCCCGAGATCACCCGAGATCACACGAGATTACACGAGATCACACGAGAAGCCCGCGGTGGGCGACTTCGGCGCGTTTGCTAAGCCCCGCCACTCACACACACCACCGCCACCACCACCACCACCATCGCCTCCGCCGCCCTCGCCGTCGCCGCCGCCCGTCTCCGCCCCCGCCCTCGCCGCCCCCGCCCTCGCCCCGCACTCACCGCAGCCGCGGCCAGCGCACCGCGCGTGTGACTGCGTCACTCGAGATCACCCGAGATCGGCCAGAGACACGCATCACAGAGCCCGCCCAGGAGGAGGCCGCTGACCGGCGGCCGTGCGTCGCCCCTCGGCGACAGGCACCGGCACCGGCGTCTACTACTCGGTGCCCGTCGTCTGCACGCCCGGCGACTACAAGCGCGTCGGCGGCATCACCCTCTCCCCGCCCGTCGCGGCGGCCATGGAGGCGTCTCGCGCCTCCCTCGCCGGCGCCTGAGCAGCCGGCTAGCGACCGCGGGGCGCCAGGCGGCGGGCGCGGATTGCAGGCGGGCACACACCGCCGTATCGCCGCGCGCAGCGGCGGAGGCGACGGCCGGCGCGGGCCATTTGTGGAGTGGGGTGCAGCCAGCGCGCTGGCTGCCGCGGCGGGGAGGAGAGGAGTTCTAGAGAGAGATGCCGAGGGAGCGCGCATAAACGCGGTGACAAACGGGTCGGTCCTCGAGCACGACGGTGTGGTCTGTGCATCGTTAACAAGTTTTCGTTTACGCACAAAACCATGTCTGCTGGAATGAGGATTGAGGTAGAGTATGGTCTATGGATAAAGAAGGCCTCGACCTTCTTCGGCAGTACCAAGAAGAACTAGAAGAGAATGTGCCACATTTCTTGTTGGCTTCTAAAAATCTCTCTCCAGCAGCTCTGCGAGCTGGCTGCTGGCTCTCTATGCAGTGTCGAGTGTGCACGGGGGCTAGAACAAGGGGGAAACATGAAGGAGCTGAGATCAGCAAACCGAGCCGGGCGAGAAGAAGAAAAACATGTATGCATGAGGGCTGAGAATAAGGGAAAAACATGAAGGAGCTGAGATCAGCAAATTGATCAGCACTCAGCCTTCCCTCCCCCTCCCGGATGGAAGTACTACCTGAGCTCGACCGTGCTTAACTTCGCTGTTCAGATGGGAAGCGGTGACCCACGGTGATATGGCCGATCATGGAAGCGATGGGCGAAGGGTGACATATGAAGGTGTGTGAGTGTGAGGTGTGGCGTGGGGGGGGGGTGAATGTGTGTGTGTGTGTGTACTTTATTTTGAAGAATTTACGAGTAGTCGAAGGAGAGATTTGCGCACTCATTTATGAGATTTGCGCACCTCAACCTCTCACAGACCAGCGCACAGCGCCATAGGAGGTATTTTCTTCTCAATAACAAGGCTGTGAACAAACACAGCGAAGAAGACGCCTGAAACGAATATCTAACATTTCGGACTGCGCGACGTTCGATCAACGCCCAGCCCCCGCCCTCGCCTCGCCCTCGCCGCCTCCGCGTCGATGGAGGTCTACGCCCTCGAGCGCAAGCTCGGCCAGGGCTCGATGGGCAGCGTCCACCTCGCACGCCGACGGTCGGACGGCCACCTCGTCGCCCTCAAGGCAGTCGCAGTCTGCTCCGTCAAGGAGCGGGAGCAGGCGGCAAACGAGGTGCAGATCCTGAGGAGCCTGCGGCACGGCAACATCGTGCGGTTGCTCGATTCGTTCGTTCACCTCGACGAGGTGGTCCTGGCTATGCAGTACTGCCCCGACGGAGACCTCGCTGAGCTGATTGCACTGCAGCGCAAGAGGTGCGGCAGAGACTGCCTGCCCTGCCCTCTGTGCCGCCATCGCCGTAGCCGACGAATTACCTTCCATCGTCGCCATCCCTTGCCCGCGTGCTCGCAGCCGCTGCCGCACATTGCACGCCCACGCTCAGCCAGCACACACCCCGCCGTCAGGTCCTCTAGGCTCGCGCCGCAGACCATTCGCGCCTTCACCTGCCAGCTGGCGTCGGCGCTAGCCCACGTTCACTCGCTACACATCGTGCACCGGGATATCAAGGCGTCGAACGTCTTCCTCGCACCCGATGCGCGCGCCGGAGCGTGTGGCAGAGGCGCCGCTGCCGATGGCACCATGGTGCTGCTCGGAGACTTTGGGGTTGCCAAGGCGCTCGAATCGACGCGCGCGATGGCCTGCACCCAGTGCGGTACGCCCTACTACCTCCCGCCCGAGGTGTGCAACGGCTCCACCTACAACACGCGCGCCGACATGTGGTCGCTCGGTGCCTCGCCTAGTCCATGCCGCTCCACACCGCTCCCATGCAGACGAAGATTCGAGATCCACTCGTCACCTCGGAGCGATCCCCCGACGTCGATTCGAGAGACGGACGTCCCATCGCCCATCTCTCACCTGAATGCGCAGACGTCCATCGTGACCTCTTACATTAGGCGTGCTGCTGTTTGAGCTGTGCGCCCTTCGGTAGCAAACCCGCCAACCCGCTGCTGCCCGTCCTTGGCCCGTGGACGCGTCCGGCATGCACCTAGGTACCCCTTCGCGGCAGACACGCTCCCCGCCCTCGTGATGAAGATCCTCGGCGGCAAGTACCGTCAGCTGCCCTCCTCAACCCCGTCAGGTCCTACGAGACCACCGCCGTCGCCACGGCCGTGCCACACCGCCACCGCAACCCGCGCCACCTCCGCTGCCACCTCTCACTCACCTCCGCTGCCACCACCACTCTCGTACTCAAGAGAACCCCCTTGCCTCCCTCCAGATCTGAGAGAGGCCGTCAACTCGTTGCTGCAGCAGCGGCCTCGCGACCGCCCCTCTGCGAGCCAGCTGCTCGCAGGGCTGTCCCCTCCGCCGCCGCCGCCGGAGGCCAAGTCGACGACGCCCGTGCCACCGTCCGCCATGTCACCGCCGCCGCCGCCGCCGCCGCCGCCGCCGCCGCCACGCTCGACAGTCGCGGGGGCGTCACTCTCTCGCCCATCCACCGCCCCCGACCGCTCCTCGCATCGAGGGACGACCGAGGCGAGGAGGAGTCGCATAGCAAGAGGCGCGAGTGTGGTCTTCAAAGTGGTTGGTGGCTCCAATAGGCGAGGCGCGAGGCGCAGGTCGCTCGCCACAAGCAGCTCGAGACGGCCTATGGCAAGCCTCCACCAAAGCGGCGCAAGCCGCCGCCGCCCGCGCGCTCACAATCGCTGAGGCATGCTCCGTCGCAAGGACCGGCAGCAGGCAGACCTCCAGCGGGCACTGCCGCGCGGGCACGCCCGGCAGGAGAGCTGGAGGAGCGGCCCTCGAGCGCGCGGCCGGCCAGCCGCGGTGTTGGCGGCGGTGCAAAGGACGCCGATCGCGGTGCGCGCCCCCCGTCGGCGCAGGGGAGGGTGTCTGTGGGGAGGCACGGAGATTTTGCCGTGTGCGGCACGCGCGAGGACGCTGCCGCCGCGGCAGTCCGACAAGGGCCGCCCCCGGAGCAGCTGGCGCCACCCGCGGCCATTGCCCCGGAGCCGGCCGGGGGAAGGGCGAGGGTCGGGGTGCCGGATGCAAGCGAGCTGCTGCTAGAGTATGGCCGGCGAAAGGCAGCCGCCGCTGAGGGTGCGGCGGCCGGGCGGGGTGGGTCTAGACACCTGCCCTCTCTGCCCCCTCCTGCTGAGGAGACGCCGGCTCGACTTGCCGTGGAGGCAGGGAGAGGCGGGGCAGCGTCAGCTCCGGCCAAGGTCGCTCCCGACGACCCGACCGCCCGCCCCGCGTGGCACGGGCCAACCTCGTCGTGGGTGGGGCAGATCACACACGCGGTACGCGCGGCCGCCTCCCCGTCCCGCCGGTCAAGCAAGGCATCGGTCACCTCCTCCGCCGCCTCCTCGCCCACCTCTAAGGGCCGTTCAACCTCGAGCTGGCCCACCCCTGAGGGGTCCGCGGTGGCCCCGCCCTCCCCCGGGGCTGGAGAGAGGAGCCACCCCGGGCACGCGGACGTGGCTGGCGGTGCGGACTTTGAGAGCACGCCGCAGCCAGAGATGGTGAGGACGGTCGAAGCGATCCACGTGGGGAGCCCCACGACGCGCATGACGTCGGCCGGGACCCCCCGTGCGGGGGCCTTCACGACAGGAAGTAACGCGATGCGAGGCTAGAGCAGGCCGCTCCGCCTCTAGCAATCTCGCCGCCAGTCGCAAGGCATGGACGAGACCGTGTGTGGGGTCATGTGAGGTGTCTATGGACGCTCTTGAGCACTTCTTGAGCACTGGATAGGGTCGTCGGTCGATTCCGCATGGTACGGGACCCCTCGATCGTCTCGCCCTCCCTCGCTGGTGCGCTCATTGGGGGGCCAGGGGGGGGTCATAACAAACACGGTACAGGATCGAGGTGCACGCTGCCGAAGCAGTGTCGTCCCCCCTCTCCCCGACGGCGATGGCGGTGTGACCGATCGAGCTACAAGAGGAGCTTGTTCAGCAGGATCCGGGACAGGTCTGGTGCACTACCTCACTCATTCGTCCGGTCCCCTTCGATCCGCAAAAAGAAAGAAAACGGACAACCCAAGGGAGGGATGGGATGGCGGCACGCGTCTTCGGGGCACGCGAGCTAGAATTCTTTGTTCGGCGCGCCTTCTCTCGTTTGGCCGTCTCACCTGCCGCTGCTACACGATGCTTGCGTACGCCCGCCCCCGCCCTGCCCCGCGTGCGCCTGGTCCGCGCCGCGCTCACCACCCTCCGCGCACGCCCCGCAGCAAGCAGTCGAGCAAGGGCAAGGCCAAGCCCGCCACCTGCACCGGCCTGCTCTCTGGCAAGACTTTCTTCGTCGACATGAAGATTGACGGCGGCGACGTCGACGCGTCGGAGTCGTTTCGCCAAAAGCTGCGCAACCTCGGCGCGACCCTCTCCACGAAGTTCACCTCTGACGTCTCGCACGTCCTCTTCAAGGAAGGAAGCGTCAAGGCGCCGCCGCCCTGCTCTGCGCCCAGCCGAGCCCGCCGCCGCAGCCGGCCGACACCGCCCGCCGCCGCACTGGCCGCTCAGCACACGCGCGGCCGCCCCCACCGCCCCTCCCCGCTCGCCCCCTCCTACCTCCCGCGCGCCGCCCGGTCCAGCTGCCGCCCTGTACCAGCCCGCTCGCGCCACACTCCGGCCGCGTCTCATCCGACTCCTCATCCCGCGCGTGCGTGTGATCAGACGTACGACGAGGCGCGGCGGCGCGACATCCCCCTCCTGACATCCGGCTGGCTAGCTGCCCTCGAGGCACCTCCCTCCCCTCCCCCTCCTCTCGCTTTTGCTCCTCTCCTCCCGGCCCTCTGCACCCACCTCCACCCGCATATGCCACTTTCCTCGCGCAAAGGACACCCGAACCCCGCCCCTACACCCCCCCGCGCCTCACAGAGTGGCGACGAGTCGTTTCTCGACGAAGGCATGATCTCGGTCATGTCAGCCAGCAACAAGCGGCCGGGGGGAGGCAAGCCTGCCGCCGGGAAGCACGCGCCGAAGCCGGTGAGGCCGGTGATCACGGCGGACGCCTCCTCGTCGCAGCGCTTCCCGGAGACGTCGCGCAGCCTGCTGGGGCGGGCGGGGCGGGCGGCGGGGCCGCGGGGCGGCGGCATCGAGGAAGGGGAGGGGGAGGGGGAGGGGGAGGGGGAGGAGGAGGAGGAGGAGGGGGCAGAGACGGCGGTGGAGACGGCGGTCGAGACGCAGCTCGACGCGGCGGCGGAGGAGGGGGAGGGGGAAGGCGCGGAGGAGGAGGCGGCGGAGGGCGAGAAGGAGGAGGAGAAGGAGGAGGGCGAGGAGGCACAGGAGGAGGCGGAGGAGGAGGAGGAGGAGGAGGAGGAGGAGGAGGAGGAGCGGGCGGCAGAGGAGGAGGCCGCATGCACAGAGGTGCCCCCTGCGCAGTCTGGGGAGGTGCCGCGAGTCCCCCCCCCCCCCTCCTCCCTCCCTCCCTCCGGGGCAGCAGACGCTGTGAGCGGCGCCTCTTCGCCCTCCCCCGTGGCGGTGGTCAGGTGCCTCTCGATCCTCCTCCCGACCGCACGTCGAAGAAGGCGCTCAAGGACTGCCTCGCCCGCGGCCCACTGCGATCTCGTCTTGATTGAGCAGCGGCGAGTGAGTAGGCGCTCAAGGACTACCTCGCCAAGCACGGCCACCCCCTGCCAAAGCAGGCGAGCCGAGAGAAGACGCGGCCGAGATGCGGCCGAACACACTCACTCACTCACACACACACACACACACATACACTCACTCACTCACTCACACACACACTCACTCACTCACACACACACACACACACACTCACTCACACACACACACACACACACACACACACACACACACACACACACACACACACACACACACACACACACACACACACTCACTCACTCACTCACTCACTCACTCACTCACTCACTCACTCACTCACTCACTCACTCACTCACTCACTCACTCACTCACTCACTCACTCACTCACTCACTCACTCACTCACTCACTCACTCACTCACTCACTCACTCACTCACTCACTCACTCACTCACACACACACTCACACACACGACACACACACGCACATGCACCCGCACGCTTCCCCCGCCCGCGCACAGACCGGCATCAACCCCCTCCGCCAAGCCGTCGCCGACTGCCGCGCCCTCCTCTCCCGCACCATCGATGGCGGCACCGGCGACGGCGACGACGATGACCAGGAGGAAGAGGTCGGCGGCGACGGCGGCGGCGGCGGCGGTGGCGGCGGTGGCGGCGGCGGCGAAGGCGGCAGCGAAGGCGGCGGCGGCGGCGGCGGCGGCTCCTCTGTCTCGCGGCTCGGCCAGCGGCTGTTGGAGCAAGGCCGGCGGCCGGCAGGGTGAGCGCCGAACTCGACCGACAGAGTCGTTCTGCGGCCGAGAGACTGCGCGCCTCCTCACGTGGTCCACGGCTCCGCTGCCAGGTCGCGCCGCCAGTCCACCGACTTGCGCGCCACGCCGAGCGGCGCGAAGCACGCCGCGTCGATGCGAGCTCCTCCGGCCAGGCCGCCGGCGCGGGCGAAGCGCGGCGCGGGCGGCGGCGCGGGCGGCGGCGCGGGCGGCGGCGTGGGCGGCGGCGAGGCGACGGGAGGCGAGGCGACGGGAGGCGAGGCGGAGGGAGGCGAGGCGGAGGGGGGTCGGAAGGGTAAGCGGCTGCGCAAGGGCGCGGCGGCCCGCGCCGAGGAGGCGGAGGCGGGCGAGGGAGAGGCCGCGGGGATGGGGGAGGCGGCGGCGGCGGAGGAGGTGGAGGAGGAGGAGGCGGCGGAGACGCCCGCGCCCCGGCGCAGTTCGAGGGCGGCGGCGTCGGCGGGCGGAGCGAGCGGCGGCGGAGCGAGCGGCGGCGGAGCGAGCGGCGGACGCGCGAGCGGCGGAGGGCGCAGCGGCGGAAGGCGCAGCGGCGGAAGGCGCAGCTGCGGCGGCGCGAGCGGCGGCGGCGGCGGCGGCGGCGGCGGCGGCGGCGGTGCGTGTGACGAGAACTCGGCCGGTGCGACCAACATGCCAGCCCGCGGTGCAAAGGCGCGCGGCGCTACGGCGCGCGGCGGCAAGGAGGGCGGCGGCAAGGAGGGCGGCAAGGCGTCGAGGAAGCGTCCGGCGGCGGAGGCGGCGGATGAGGGCGGCGGGGCGGCGGGCGGCGGCAAGAAGAAGACGAAGAAGGGCGGCGGTGCGGCGGCGGAGGAGGAGGCGGTGGCGCAGGTCGCCTTCTCCCTCTCCTCTGACACCAACCTCTGGCAGACCGCCTTCTCCGCCGCGACGGAGCTCGCAAAGCTGGAGGGGAAGGCCTCGGTCAGCTCCGCCGGGCCGGCCGGGCGAGACTGCACGAGATGAGCCGAGGCGGGCGCGAGGGTAGGTCTCGATCTGCTCGGACGAGCTGCCGGGCGAGAGGGTCTCGCACCTGGTAGTGACGCAGGAGCCGCGGCGCACGCTCAAGGCGTGCCCCACCACGCCACCTCGCGCGGCTCCACGAGTCCGCTGATGGACCCCCTCCTCGGCGTGAGCAGGTGCTCCACGCCATCTCGCGCGGCATCAAGATCGTCACCGCCGAGTGGGTGCTCCGCTCTTTCGAGGCGAGGCGCTGGCTGCCGACCGAGCCCTACATCGCACTGCAGCCGTCGCCGGTGCCGGGGCGGCAGCTCGACGGCGCTCGCTTCTTCCTTGGCCCGTCCCTCGCCAAGTTCTCCGAGAAGCAGCTGCGCGACCTCGTGCACGTCGCGGGCGGCGTGCCGACGGCGCAGGCTCGCGCGCAGTACGTGGTCGGCACCAACCGCAAGCTCGAGGGCCAGGAGCGCGTGACGGAGGAGGCCATCATCAGCCAGATCCTCGGCGAGACGGACGGGCTCGAGCTGCACCTTAATTCGCCCTTAGTGAAGCACTTGATGAACTGTTAATTAGGCGAGACGGACGAGCTCGAGCGCGTGCCGCCCAGCCAGCCGCCGCCAGGCGCCGCCGCCGCCGAGACGCAGGAGGAGGGCGATGGCGAGAGCGACTCGGAGGAGTTCTAAGGCTGAGCGGGGAAAAAAAAGAGAAGCGGTTTGTGGGGAGGGATCGGAGGAGTGCCGAGGCTCAGCGGGACGGCCTCGCGTGCGGTCCGGTGCCGACAGCCCAGCACACTTCCAGGGCACGGGCATGCAGTGGGCTCGCTCTCGACTGGGGCAGCGCCGCGCAGAGGGCGGCGGCCGCCGCCGGCGCGCCCAGATCGCGCAGGCGAGGCTGTCGCAGCGGCCCCCGGGGGAGAGGCTCACGCGCGGTACGTTTGCGAGTTTGGGGAGTCATCCGGGGCGGCTGTAGGACGGCCGCGCCGAGCGCGAAGTGCCTCTGGTTCGGTGGGACTGGTTGTCTGGTCCTGTGCGTTTGCCGCGCGGGGCGTGCGGAGCGCAAATGTGGGTCTGTGTGTCGAGGCACAGCAGACCACTCTTCACGCAGTCTCGACGGGTCCTCCCCGCTCAGCGTCTCGTGTCGCGCCGTTTGCGCCAGTGCTATGCGCATCGCTCTGGTTGGGGGGGGGGGGGGGGGTTCGTTTACGTTTTCTGTTTTGCTCCGCTGCTCGGCAGCAAGACGTCTTAAATAAACTTTTGAAGAACTCCAACTCGAGAGTCGCGCGAACTTCTTTTTTCTGCGCCTTGTGCTTGTCTGTCGTGTGAATCGTGCGTGTGCGAGAGCCTTTGGTTGTGAAATTCTTTCTCTATATGTTCTTTTTTGTGTTAGTGCCAGTGCGCGCGCCAGTCCCGTGCCCCGGCCCAGTTGTGCGAGGGAGTTTCATCGTAAAATTCTTTTTTCTGAGGAAGCCGTCGCCCGCGCCTCGCCTGTCGCGTGAATCGTAGAAAGAAAGAAAGAAAATATACAACCCAAGCGAGTGCGCGGCTCCACAATTCTTTTTTCTCTGCTCGGGGCTCTTGTGCAAGAGTCATCACCGGTGCGGAAAGCGACCGCCCCTTCTGCAATGCTCGCCGTCCTCTGCTCCAGCGCCCTCTCTTCGAGCGGCGACGCCTTCTTCAAACTCTCGACGACCCGCGCCCTGCCGGCGGCTCGCCCTCTCTCGCCGCACGTCAACCTCGCCACGTCACCGCAAATCTCTGACTCCATAGACTGGGAGCAGATGGGCTTTGCGCGTGCGGTCCGCATTCGTCACACCAGCGCCGAGCCCGCCCCGGCTACACCCATCGACCTCTCGGCAGCCTGCGACTCCCAGCCGGACGGCTGCGACTGGAACGAGATGGGCGCTGCGCTGCTTCTTCGCTCCCCTCCATCTCCAAAGCGCGCCGCCGCTGTCTCCGTCGACCTTGCGCCGCGCGGCATCGGTCGAGCGGTGGCGGGCATCCTCGGGAAGCGGCGCCCTCGGCGAGACGCGGAGCGCGTCCGCGACCTCCGCTTTGCGTACGCAGTCGGAGTCGAGGAGAAGCGGCGGCTCGGGCTGTGAGGAACCCAAGTGGCGGGGCGGGATGGGTGAGGGGGGGGGGGGGGGGGCTTGACACTTCTCGCTGCGGCCGCCGCGTCGCGAGGCGCGCCCGGAGGCCGGAGCGGCCCCTCCTGGCCGCTTGGCTTGGCATGGGTGCGTGCTCGGGGGAGCAAGCCCTTGTTTTTCCACGGGGATGATGAGGCTGGATTGAGGATTGGAGGCGGACTGCTGTCTGCGGTGAGGAATGCGGACATGGGAGGCGGCTCTGACGGGGCATGACCATAGGCGGCCGCCCTGTTGCCGCGGCAAGTGGAGGAGCTGCCCAAGCAGGATTGAGCATGGTCGATGGTGGAAGTGAGCATGTGGGATTGACATCATGTGCACGCGTGCTCTCCCTGTCGTGTCGAGCGAGATCCCCCGTCCTTTTGGGGTGCGTTCAGATTCTGAAGAGTTACAGGCGAGGAAGGAGTGAGAGGACGGTAGTTTCGGTAGGGAGCCTCCAACAACAAAAGACGAAGAACAGACATTGCACAGACCACACACTCGTCACTCCACAGTCGGCAGCGTGCACCTCGCCGGGCCGAGCGTTTTTGATCTCTGGATCTGTGGGCGCCCGCCCGCCGCCTCTGAGGGGGTCGGACCCCCTAGACTGAAAACAAAAACAAGCTCGAAAACAGCCAAAATCAGCCTGCGAGAGAGGCACTGCGCGCCGCTGGACCTCAATGTGGGGATGTGTGCCGACACCAATACTGAGTTTACTGATCGAAAACCTGGAAACCCTTGTTCAAAGCCGACCCTAAGCGCCATCCTTCCTGCTCTCACCTGATGCTGCTTCCCCGCGCCGCCTCCTTGGGCCCCCTTGGGCGTATTTTCTACTCCCAGTGGGGTCCCGGGCCCCCGCCCCCTCTTGCTTTCTGTTTTCTGTTTTTCAAAACGCCCGCCCGCCCGCCACCCCGAAGCGGCTCGGCCCCCCACAGATCCAGAGATCAAAAACGCTCGGCCTCGATCCTGTACCGTGTTTGTTATGACCCCACCAATGAACACACCAGTGAGGGAGGGCGAGACGATCGAGGGGTCCCGTACCATGCGGAATCGACCCTATCAAGTGCTCAAGTGCTCAGCTGCATGTGAGCGCTAAAACAAGAAGTGCCGCGGCGCGGGCAGTCCCGTGCCGCGAGGGACGCGGCGAGGAGGGCAGCACTAAAGCGGGACCCGCTGTGTCCGATCGTGCGGAAAGCCGCGCAGCAATGGACCGAGGAAGATGAGAACCCGCCTAGAGCGACAATGGCGCACGTGCTTAGCGGCGCCTGCCTGGGAATAGGGAGCAGGCCAGATGGTTCCTCAGAGTAGCGCGAGCGCAGACAGGGACGGCGATCAGCAAAGTGGCACAGGCGGCACCCGACTCCAAGGAGACGCTGAAGACGCTGAGGCTGGCGCATGTCGCTGCGCTGAAGCCGAGTTGCCCAACCAGTCGGAGCCGCGCCGACGGGTGTGTCGAAAGAGCTGACACTCTCCGGTCCATCCGGAATTTTGTCGTTTTAGTTAGCACTGCTGCTGCAGCCAGGGCCCGCGTGACCCCATGCCCTTCCCATATCTCGTGAGCTGAGGCTTGGCGCCACCCCGGTGACCGCCCACAGGTGGCTGTTCGCGCGCATTGCTCACGACGCCTTTGCGCGCCTGGTTTTCAGAGGGCTCCTGCGGCTCTCCCTCGTCGCGTGACCGCCGCCGACAGCACCTGCTCGGTCGACTCGCCGGCGCGGAGCTGCACCGCGTCGAATTCTTCGGTGGCTCGACCGCCGGCGCGCCCACCCTCGCCTCCCGCGCGCCTCACACACAGTATTCTCCTCGCGCGCGGCCGACAAAGTAGGCACACGACCACCTCCCTCCCACTCACCCCCCCCCAACGATGCACAGCCCGTCCGTTGTCGCCGGCAAGGCGCACGGAACGCCCAATTTGGGCTGGAAATGCCGCCGCCACGGGTTGGTGGCGCCCTGGGCAGCGCCACGCCGCGCAAACTTGCGCGACCAACTTGCGACCTCTGTCCCTCGTATTCACCACAGATTTTGCCCTATCCCGGCTCGCCAGGTACCGCGAGCGGCGAGCCGCGCCAAGTTTGCTCCATTTCCGACAAGTTCATCCCGCCCGAACGCCGATCTTCGGCCGTCTGGAGGCCCAGGACGGGGCCTCGGACCGGCCAGGTGTGGATTCTCCACGGCGCTGCGGTGTATCTGCGCGCCCATGGCGCGTTCAGGCTGGGGTGCGCCTGAGGCGTGTAGACTGCGGGGCGCCGCGATAGCGCGGCGCCGACGATTGTGTCGCTCACTGTCCCACACCGTCGACACGGTCACAGTGTGTGTGCAGTGCGTCCACTCCAGCGACCATGACGCCGTCGGTTCTCGCCTATACCGGCTAGTGTGGAGCTCTCAGTGTGGTTACGTGTTGTACTAGTGATGCTGCACTAGGCGGCCCGTTTTTAGCAAAAAGAAGATACCACATCGCGTGTGGTCGTCGAAAAACCGCATCTTCGCCCGTCTGGGACCTCTTCGTACGGCTCCAAAAACCGCTCCTTAACGACGACTACGCGGCCCGGCGGTCGATCTGCGCCTTCTCAGCGGTGGAGGGGATGTGGTCGGTACGTGCGGACCGCGTGGTGCTGCGATGGCTTGACGAGTGCGACTCCCAGGGTCGACTCTGCGACCCCACGGAGCCTCTGCTGCTCCGGGGGGGGGGGGGTCTGCAGACCACCCGGCCGAACTTCAGAGTCGCGGTGCTCCTCAAATACGGCTCAAACGCCCACGATGCTGTGGAGGGGACATATGCTGATGATCCTGGCCCGATTGGTTTGCTCAGAAAGCTTCTGGGCGGTCGTTAAGGTTCGCTCCCCGCACACCGGCCCCGGAATAAGATACATCATACGTGCCGACCCCGTCCAGTTGCCGAAGACGCCATCGCCCCGCTGGTACGGGCTGGTCTTTGGATCGTGTGCCCGCTTCGGGTCCTTCAGCCGAGCTTTATTTCCATAACCTTCGCCGATGCGCCGAAGGCACGGGCAATGTCCGCGACGTGGGCGTTGAGCGAGGTGTGTCCCATGGCCAACCAGCCGGGTGCGCGGATGAGTACGACGAAGGCGACGACGCTTTCGACGCGCTCTTCGACGGGGGCTCGGGGTACGGGTGGGATTCCTCTTCGGGGGGCGGCGCCTTCTTCTAGGCGCCCTTGACCCAACATACGGCTCTAGAGAGGGCGTTGTGGGCCTAGCTTTTGGTGAAATACAAAAATGCCATTCTCCGTCGACCAAGCCAAGCCCCGGGTCAAGAGAAGGCGCCGATCCCCGGGTCACCGACCGAACAAAACAACATCCGACCGACGCCACCTGGACGCCACCTCCTTCATCCTAAGCTTCAGCTCCCCCAGCTCCTGCTCCGCTTCGTTCAAGCACGGCCGGTGAAGGGCATTGGAGCGGCGCTTCGGCCGCGGACTTGGCATGCCGCCCCGCGCCTCCTCCTCGTCGGGCTCCACGAGCCGCTTGTGAGGCGGCTCGCGCCGCCGGCAGCAGCAGCGGTAGAAGCAGAGCGCCAGGAAGAGCCACCCGGCTACTCCCAGCGCCAACTTCAGCGGGGAACTGGCGAGGATGGCTCGGCCAAGTTTAGTTTTAGCGAGATCGCGAAGGAGAGGGGGGAGAGCACTCGGAGTGGATGTCCGGTTCCGGTCGTCCAAGTTGAGCTTTAGCGAGTCGCCGAGGGGGCGCAGGCTCCACTCGCGCACCGCGCTCCCGTGTTCGGCGACCCTCTGGGGATTAGCGATTAGCGCGCCCAGCTCCTTCTCCAGCTCCTTGACGACGGGCGCCACGGTCTCGTACCCCGTCCGCACTGCCTCGTCGAGCTTCTCGACGATGTCGGCGTAGAAGGGTGGGGGTGGGGCGAGCGGCGGCGTCGGCGGCGGCGGCGTCGGCGGCGGCGAGGGCGGGACCGCGGGAGGCGAAGGCGGCGGCGTCGGCGGCGGCTTCGGCGGCGGCGTCGGAGGCGGCGGGGTCGGAGGCGAGGGCGGGGCCGCGGGAGGCGAAGGCGGCGGCGGCGGCGGCGGCTTCGGCGGCGGCGGCGACGGCGGCGGTGGAGACGGAGGTGGGGGGGAGGGCAGCGGAGGAGGCAATGGAGGCGGTTTTGGCGGCAGTGGTGGCGGCGAGGGCGGCGGCGGCGACGGCGGCGACGGCGGCGGCGACGGCGGCGGCGGCAGCGATGGCGGCGACGGCGGTGGAGGCGGCGGCCGCGGGAAGGGAGGCGCCGGCAGGTGGGTCACCTCCGAGTTTAAGGCCTTTGCCTCCCCGAGGAAGACTTTGACCAGGGCTCTGGGCTTGATACGGCACGCGTGCTCGCCCATGGGGAGGACGTGCAGCACCGGCTCCTTGTGGAGATCGCAGATGTTTTCGGGCCCGCCAGTGAAGTGGTAGTCGGTTGCGAGGCAGTCTCGACTATCGCGGCACAGGGCTTGGCACTCGGCCTCGCTCACGCCCAAAATTGCGTCCACCGAACCATACGCGCCGTGCTCCACCCGGCAGCCGCCGCGCTGTCCGCCGGCGAGCGGCCAGAGGTCTCCCGGGACCCTCGCGAGCCTCATATGGTTGGAGGGGCTCGCGGAAGGCTTCGGCGCCGACTGCGGAACCGGTGGTTGCACCAGCGACCACCACGGTGGCGGGCGGGGCGGAGGTGGAGGTGCTCGGAGATGGAGCAATAACGGGGCAGGCGAGATGCTAGTGAGGGTGAGAGCAAGCGACATGAGGTCTCAGAATGGCCGGACGCGCGAGCTCCACTACATGGACCCGTCGGTGCTGCCGTCGCCCGAGGCCTACGAGCTGCTCGGCTGGCTCCTGGACGGATCCTACCAGGCGCTTCCACCGTCGTGGGAGCGCCGCCGCGGCGCTGCTGACACAGCGGAGCCCGGCGAGCCGACGAGCTAGCTCCCTCGTCACACACGCGCACGGACGCATGGAGATTCGCGCGCGTGCCACACACACACACACACACACACACACACACACACACACACACACACACACACACACCACTCCATACGCGAGCCCGCTCTCGCTCCGCCGCTCGTGCGCCCCGCGCGCATGTCGGCCTTCTCATGCCTCCGGCCTCCGAGCGCCCACCTCGGGCGCTCGGGCGGTTGGGGATGGCATATCGGTTCCCTGGGCGTTCACTAGCGCTCGCTTGTGGGTGAGAACGGCGTTCTCTGGGTAAGCTCAGCTGTGAACTTCCCAGTTGTTTGCTCTCCCTCCCTCCCTTACCCTGTTCATGACTTGCTAGCGGGACCTGAGTATTGTATAAGAATACTGTAAGGCATATCGGTTCCCTGGGCGTTCACTAGCGCTCGCTCGGCCTGAGCAGCGACGGGTGGACGGCAGCCCCTTGAGTCGAGGGCGGCGCGACCATTGCGCCAAAGACCAGCTAGCTGGCCCGTTCAGTACAGATACATAAAAGAAACACACACACACACACACACACACACACACACACACACACACACACACACACACACATCCGTGAGGGGAGATACGGGAGATTTTGTGGCAAGGCGAGGGCGGGAACTGCTACACGCGTGACAAGCGATGCTCATCCAGAAGGCACAGCCCGCCTCCGTCAAACTCATCCCGTCCGACAACGGGACCCGCTACAAGTGCGTCTACGACAGGGGCAGCAAGGACCCTACGCGGCGCTACGAGGTCACGGTCTCCCGCGGTTCCGTCCTGACTGTCATCGGCCGGTTTGCGACGCTGGAGGACGCCGCGATCTGCTACGCCCTCTCGCCCGAGGGGCAGAAACATGCGGCCAAGCTCGCCGAGGCGGAGGCGCTGCAGGAGGAGCAGAACATGACGAGCGCCGAGGCCCGAGCGACGGCCGCCAAGGAGGGGCTGGAGCTGCATACGAACGGCTCGGGCTCGGGCTTTGTGGGCGTCGTCCGAACGTCACAGACCTGCAAGCTGCCTTTCACGGCAAAGGTGAAGCGCGGGCGCAAGTACACGAGCCTCGGCTACTTCAGGTCGGCTGAGGCGGCCGCTCTCTGTTACGCCCGCTCGCCCGAGGGCCGGGCGGCGGCGGAGGCCAAGCGCGCCGAGGCGCAAGCGCCGCCTGCGCCTCCGCCGATGACAGCTCCTGATGCGCTGGCGGCGGCGGCGGCGGAGGGGCTGGTGCTGCCCACGTCCGGCTCCTCGGGCACGCGCTTCCAGGGCGTCTACTCCTCTGCGGGAACGCGAAGGCCGCTGCCCTTTTACGCCCAATATAGCCCCGACGGCTTCCGAACCAGCCTCGGCTGCTTCGCCACCGCCGAGGAGGCCGCCCTCTGCCGCGCGCGCGCGCTCGCGGCCCCGGCCGACGCCCCCGCCGCCGCCGCGGACGAGCTGGTCGCGACTTGCCCCATATGCATCGAGCCGATCGACGCCGGCTCTGAGCCGGTCGCCACCACCTGCCTGCACGTGTTTTGCCGCGGGTGCATCGCCGGCTGGCTCGAGCAGGCAGTCGAGGCAACCTGCCCGATGTGCCGCGAACCGCTCGAGGGCGCGTTGGGGCAGCTCACGGCCGTGCCGCTGCCGGCCGCCGCGGACACGAGCTCCGCCCCGCGCGGGGCGGGGCGGCGCACCGGCTGGACGCTCCTCGAGTGGCAGCAGATGCTCGTGGAGCAGGCCTCCGTCGAGGCCGAGCTCGCCGCGCGCGCCGAGGCCACCGCCCGCTCCGACGAGCAGCAGGCGGCGTTCGTGTACCGCAGCGGCGTCCCCCGGCCCGTCGACCTGGCACGGGCCGGGTACCGTCCGCTCTTCAGCGCACGGCGTGGCGGGCACATGGCCCGCGGCGAGGCGCACCCGCGGGCGGCGAGGCCCGTCCGCCCCGACCCGCCCGGCAACAACTTTGCCGAGGTCGAGGAAGCGCGGCGACGCCTCGACGCGCGGCGCCGCCTCGACGCTGACACTGCCAAGAAGCAGAAGAAGGGGGAGGGGCCGTAGACCGCCCAGCTCTCTCTCTCTCTCTCTCTCGCCCCCTCTCTCTCGGCGCGCCCCAGTCGCGCCCCCGTCTCTCTCTTTTGCGAGACGTGTGTGTGTGCCGAGGCTCTCTCTCGCTCTCGCCCCCTCTCTCTCGGCGCGCCCCAGTCGCGCCCCCCGTCTCTCGCTCTTTTGCGAGACGTGTGTGCTCCGAGGAGAGGCGCGGCGAGTGTTGGCCCCCGGTTACGTCAAGCCCGGTTGTAGCGTGTGGGCCGCGCTATCAAAGACACGTTAAACGAAGCAGTGCACCGAAAGTAGACGGTGGGTGAGTGGGCGCGTTGCGATCTCCTGTGGTGCAGCACGATGTGACACAGCCGACGCGCTCGCAGAGCGAGTGGTCCTGACAGCCCCGCCACCGTAGCCATCCCGGTTTCCCTCCGACGAGCCGAGTGGACGAGGCGTGGTCTTCTGGGCTCGTGGCTCGATGCGGGCACGGTTTTCTCTCCGCACGGTTGGGTTCGCCCCCTAGTTGCGGATCCCACACGCTCTGTACCGCCAAGCCGGCTCGCCTCCCCGCCCTGAGGCCGTCACCGGTCGCGGCGCGTCGAGCAGCGCACCAGTGCCCCGCGAGCAGCCCTGCTAAGCGGCGTGCGGGTTGCCGCCCGTCGGAGGCGTAGTCGTCGTCGATGCCGTGTCGCCCGCTGGAGGGCCGTCGATGGCGTGCGGTGGCGCGCCCTGCGAGTCGCCCCGCGAGTCCGCTGGCCTGCCCTGCGAGCCGGCGCGCGGGGCGAGAGTGGGACGTGCGGTGCGAGAGTGAAGCGCGCACAAAGCCGCCGCGGGGGAGCGAGGGTGGTCGTATGCGGCGAGGGTGTGCGACCGGGAACGAGTGGCGGTCATGAGTGGCGGCGCGCGCGGGGTTGGATCCTGGGAGCGGCGAGTGGCCGAGAGGGGAGCGCTGTTGGGGGAGGGCGGGTACTGTCGGACGGGAGACTGGACTGCTCTCCTGTTGTCTGTCCCTCTCGAACCAGGCCGCCCTCTACTGACGTGAGCCACTCGCGGGTGGGCGCGAGAGGCGGTGAGGGAGGGGCCGTGCGTGCAGGTGTGTTCATTCGGAGCGAGGGGATGCCGAGAGCTACGTCACTACTCGGGCTCGGGCCGCCGTCGAGTTGAGCCACCCCATCAGCGACGTTTGCTGCGCTGTGACCGCAGCCTCCCTCACCACTCTCACCGCCGCTATTGCTGCCGCGGCCTCCTTCTTCGCCGCCGCCTAGGCGGCCCTCACCGCGGGTCGCCGCGGCCCGCTCTGCGACCTTGGTCCGTTTCCTCTCCTCGCGCTCCATCTTGGAGATTGGCCCGCTTGGGCTCGACATTTGCTGCGCCGGGCGGCGGCGGCGGCACCTCGTCGCAGTGGCGGCTGTTTCGTACTTTGGAGAGAGAATCTCCGACCCACGTTTCCAGTAAGCTAAACGTACAGTACCTCAGGTACGTTCTTTGGCCGTTTCGCGGCCTACGATTAGATTTAGCTCGTCGTGGCAGACTGTGTTTCAATCGGCCGTCCAGCGGGCGTCCCTCCACAAGGACGGCCGAAGCTTCAAATCATCGAGGGGCGGCGGCCCTCCCGTACCACGGCGGAATTGAGAATGGGGTGGTTCGTGGTTGGTGAGCAGGCGGCTGGCCCTATGAGCTACGTCTTGGCCTGCACAAGCTTTTCCGGCAAACAAGAAGGAAAACAGAGGGTAGGTAGGTAGGTAGAAAGGTGAAGAACAGCCAGGCTCGGACTGGACACCAACGCGGTATGGGTGGACGCTAGACAGATGATGACGACACGCACGAGCGACACACAGACACAAACAGGCTCACAAGACACACAGCCAGCTGGCTGCCACACACCCTGAGTCGGCGTACACATAACTCAGCGCCACATCCTTCCTGTCGCCCCCCCCAGCACTCCACGGTGCCAAGGGCACAAACAAGGGCACAACTCAAACAACAGACAACAGGAAGTGACATGTGAGGCTAGAGCAGCATGCTCCACCTCTAGCAATCTCACCGGCCTGCTAGGCACGGACGAGACCGTATGTGGGGTCTAGTGAGGTGTCTATGGACGCTCTCCTCATGGGCTAGCTGCCTGCGGCTAGCCCTTCTCGCACTCACGGACAGTGACAATCAAATGGGTGAGTGTTTGCGAGCTGAGGCGCGTGTGCTAAATCTAGCTTCTAGGCCGCACGTCGTGGCACTATGACGGAGGTAGACGTGCGGCCGCAGAGGGTCCCCAGCACTTTGCGTTTCCGGAAATTTCCAGGGAAAACAGAGGATGTTTGGTGCTCCATTCTGGAAACTGGCGAGTTTACCTGAGTCTGAGAGCTGGTCTGGTGCAAAATCTGACGCAAAATTGAGGAAATCGGTGCAACAGGCAGTGCAACAGTGGTGGTGTATGTATCCTAAGAGCAACAGACTGTCTCGCGCCTAGCCTCTCTTCTACGCCCCTCGTGCCTCGCGGCGCCTCTGCTTCAAGGAGGGAAGATACGGCGCTCGCACGAGCTGTGGCACAGCGGAGCACAGCGGGCGGTACAAGTCCATCGAGTATGGTTCCCTATCTTCGCATGCTCGTTGTTGGTGATATCCGCGCGAGGTCATACGCCACAGGCCGTGCGGCCAGGACCCGAGTGTGATGTTCTCCCGTTTTTTTCTAAATGTGAACTCGGGGGCACGGGACGCGGCACAAACGGGGCACAAACGCCAGACTACAAACACGGGCAGGCACGTAGTGACGAGGCGACGGTGGCGTCCTCCGACGCCGCGGCGAGTCTGAGCTCGGTCGCAATGAATCTCATCCGCCGCCGCGAGCTGCAGCGCGACTGACATGCGCTGGGCCTGCAGCGACAGCCACGACCATCACACGTTTCACTCGAATTGCGGAGACCCAAAACATCACTTGGGATCATCCTCCGGCCAAATGGCTGCGCCGACGGCTGTATGATGGTCCCTCGGGTCCCTGCTGCTCTTGATCTCTACTTCGTACATCCTCCACCTCCTGCTGATCTCCGCAACCCAACGTCCTGCTCCCTCCCTCGACCCTCGTCTCGCCCCCTGGCGGGTTGTTCGTGCATATGGGCCAAAAGCGTCGAAAATGTCCCAAAAAGCGTTTGTTGCAGCTCCGCAGCCTGCGCGCGCTGCCGGAACGCACCGCTTGCTGGATCCCAGGGAGTGCGTGTATCCAACAGGAATGAGTAGGCTCGACGCCGCGCTCGCTGTGGGGCTGCAACAAACTCGCCGCCGAGCGTGCCACCGACGGCGTCCCGGCGGAGGTGATGGAGTTTGAGACCTGAGGCTGTGGAGGTGACGCCTGAGGTACCGGCCCGTGCAAAGCGACTCAGCCGGCGACCGCCACGGGCTCAGACGAGACTTGTCGACTCGTTCCGGCTCAGCTTCACCGTGGTCATCGGGCGTCTGTCGACGTCAGGACCACCCATACAGCTCGCGGGTTTGAGGTCGCAAGAGCCAAGATGGTGGCGTTTGGACATCCCAACCATCCCACAAGACAGCCTGTAGGTGATGGCGGGACGGCGCAGTGTTTGTGGCACTCGGCAGTAGGCACCCGCGGCACGGCCCCGCTGTCGGCTGCTCGGCTCTCGCGGGCTGCGGAACCGGCCCCAGAAGGGGACGGTCCGGGCGAGTGTGGCAGCTCCTGCGCTAGTATGGGCACCCTCTATCACAACACTACTGATCCTGGTCATTAGAGCTGCCAGGGATAGCGTCAGGAGCCGGTAGGAGTCAAACCCCCTCATATTTGAGACATCGTGGCCCATAACCGCTTAACCCATACGGCTCTATACTCCACGACTCAACCCCTGCGCGAAACGCGACCGTCTGCTCCCCGCGGCCTCCCATCAGGCGCATTACGCAACGCTTTCCTTTATTTTGTCAGTCTTCAAAAAGCACGGGCGGCCGTGCTTCAGACACCACTCGGTGACGGCCGGGGCGAGAGGTGGTCGAGCTGCGCGATGATGGTGTCGGCGAGGCCCTCGCCGGGCCGCAGGAAGGCGTCGCGCGAGATGGTCGCCTCGGCGGTGAAGGCCGGGAAGACGGCCGCGACGAAGTCGCGCATCGTGCGGACCTGGGCGAGGTCGGCGCCGAGCGCGTACGTCTTGACGAGCGCGCGCGTCAACTCCTCCTGCGTCAGCGACCCCGTCTTATCGTCGTCAAAGTGGTCGAACCACGCGTTCCTCTGCGTCCGCACGTCCGGCGGCGCCGCCTCGACGGGCTCGACGCGCATGTCGTCCGTCAGGTTGGCGCGGACCAGCGCGAGCAGGCCGGTCTCGGGGGCAAAGAACTCGTCCCTCGAGACATACCCGTCCCCTAGAAGAGACATGGGGTCCGCGTAAAAAAGAAAGACAGGGTGCTCGTCCGTCGAGACAATACCCGTCGCCGTTCGGGTCCACCTGTGGCCACGCGTCCTCCATCCGGGCCTCGAAGCGGTCGACGTCGAGAGGGAACTGCGAGAGCAGCACGTTGATCACCTCCTGCTTCGAGAGGTACCCGTCCCCCTTGACGTCGCAGGTGCGGAACCAGACCTGGCGACACTCCAACACTCAGAAAAAGAAAACAAGTCCGGGCCTTGTCGCGGTGCGGAAGCACACCTCGGGCTGACGCTCGAGCGACGGCAGCACGACTGCCTTGTCGAAGTCGCAGCGGCAGAGCGGGCAGCTCTTCGACGGAAGCTCCTGGGGAGAGATGGGGCGGGGTGAGGGGAGATCTGGGGCGGCATGAGGGGAAGCTCTTCGAAGGCAGCTCCTGCGCGCACTGGTAGTGCAGCAGGTGGCCACACACGCGCCGGCTCGACGCGTCCCAGAACACGGCGCACGGCTCCGCGCACAGGTCCTACGGGGCGTGTCTCGGGCATGTCCTGGACGTGTCCTGGGCGTGCCTCGCACGGCTCAGCAGCAGAGCTCCTCAAAACACACCGCGCATTCGGCGAGCTGTCGGGTCACGCCGTCGCTACCCGTCCGCGGCCGCAGCCCGAAGGACGAGTTGCTCCTAGTAGCAGCCAGCACCCCTTCAAACGTACTCAATGAGAGCGCGCCCGCAGCCCGAAGATGGGTTGCTCCTCCTCGCGACATGCGGCGGCGAGGCCGGCGGCGGCGGCGGCGGCGGTTGTTGAGACGGCTCGGCGAGGCGGGCGCTCTCGGCGAGCGCCTGAGCGAGCTCGCGCTCCTCCCGCTCCTCGTCGGTCTCGCGCGAGAAGGGAGGCGGAGGCGGCTGCTGCCGCTGCGCTGGCGTGGCGGTGACGGGCAGGCCCATCGGCACGCTCCCTCCTGGTGGCGTCGGGACCGCGACAGGGAGGCCGCCAGGCACGGCCGCCTGGCCTCCTCCGCCGCCCGAGGAGCGCGGTGCGGGCGTGGCGTACGCGTGGTCCCACATGGCCGGCGCTGCCGCCGGGACGCGAACATGGAAGACACCACCCTCGGCCACGCCAGGAGGGATGCGCGCGCGGAACTGGCGGCCGCTCGGGTCCTGCACGATGACCTGAGAGCCGACTGGCGATCCAGACGGCCGCGTCACGCGGAGCATCATCGCGCAACAAACGCCAGCGCGCTCAGGGTGTCGACCGGCAAGCACACGCCTCGACTCACTGGTGTGTTCATGGGGGGCATAACATATGATGTATCTTATTCGGACCCCCCCCTTCGCGCTTCTCGTTTTTCGTGCCAAACCAGCGCGATCTCGGCGGGGCGTCAGCGCCTCTCGGAGGGGCATCATGCGCTCCCGGGGCCGCCCGACGGCGCGGGCGGCTCTTGCCGATGGACCCAGCCGAGGTGCCCGACCAGTCGGAGTGGCGCTGACGCGCCGCGCGCGACCACCAGCCAGCTTTCCGGCCGGGCCGAGAACGGTGCCTCGAGAATGTAGACACTCCAAACAGTTGCCGAGTTTTTTCCCTCTTTTTGAGCGCCGCTGCTGCACACCCAGCCCACCAGTGATACGAGACGCACCAGATTCACCCCGTCGCGAGCTTGACCGCGACCCCGATGACCGCCCACAGGTGGCTGATCGCGGCGCCACTCATCGCTGCTTTCGCGCGCCTGGCTCTCAGAGGGCCCCTGCGGCTCTCTCTCGTCGCGTGACCGCCGCCGACATCATCTGCTCGGTCGTGCCCGCCAGCGCGGAGCTGCGCCACGTCGAATTGTTCGGCGGCTCCTCCCTCCATCTTCGTCGCCGTCGTTGCTGTCTTCGGGGTGTCCGTATCCGTCCCCGCCGCCGCCTCCTTGTAGGAGTTTGAAGCGAAGTCGGTCTAGAAATCGTTCTGTCGCGATTCGGTTCCATTTGGCTCGTCTGGGTGTGCGTCGGCTGCCCTGGCTGCTCTGGCTCTCCTCGCTCTCGCCCCCCTGACTCTGCTGGCTGTACTGACTCTGGCGCCCTCCGCCTCTTCCTCCGTTGCCACGTCGGGAAGCTCGAAGAACGCATCGTCGATAAATGCCATCTAGTCGTCCGCCGAGGCGCTCTTGTCTCTCTCGTCGTCCCCCTCGTCGTCGCACGTCTCGCTCCCTTGCGGCTCGCTCTCCATCGAGTTCGCCGTCCCGTCTTCGGGCGCCGGATTGTGGACGGCCTTGTCGTGCTCGGCCGTGTTCCACGGCTCGACCCCAGCTCCCTGCGCCTCGCGCACCGCGTCGAGGGTCCGCTGTGACACTTGCCTCTCGCGCCCGTGCCGAAACCGCAGTAGACTGAGGTGCCCGATCTGGTATGCCTTTGTGCCTTTGAGGGCTCGCGGGCCTCTCGGCACCCCCTTGTCGGCCCTCGGCTTGCGTGGTTTCGGGGCGTCTCCTCGTTGCTGCCCCTCTCTACGCCGCTCGTCTCGTGCGCCGATGAGCTCTCGCGCCATGGCTGCGAGACTGTCCCCGTGGCACAGCCTCCCCTCTCGACACGAGGGCGAGCATCCGAGCCGCACCACCTTGGCGTTGCCGTGGCCGTTCAGCGCTGCCCGCATCGCCGCGACGGCGTCGTTCCCCGTCCTAGCTTCGTCGGAGCGTCGAGGGGCGATCTCTTGCGAGAAGGGCCGCCCGTTGGCCTGTCTGATGAGCGCTGGCATGGATCTAATGTCCCGCACGGCCGAGGCGGGAACGGTGCGCAGCCGGAGCCACGTGTCGAAGGCCTCGCATACCTGGTCGCGCAGCGCCTCGTCGGTGCCTCTCTTCCCCATGGGGAATGGGTTGCCGAGCCCGGTGCCTCTCATGATGTTGACTGGCAAGGGGCGCGGGACTGTGTCCGCTCCCGTGTCGCGCGTCTCCGCTCGTCGGCTTCCAGCGACGACCATGACGGCGGCGAGGGCGGCATTGGCGGGGGCGGTGGTGGCGAGGGTGGCGGCGGCGAGGGTGGCGGCGGCGGGAGTGGTGGCGAGGGCGGCGGTGACAGGGGCGACGGAGGCGAGGTCGTCGGCAAGGGGAGCGGCGATGGCGAGGGCGGCGGTGGCGAGGGCGGCGGCGGCGGGGGTGGTGGCGGCGAGGGCGGGGGCGGCGAGGGCGGGGGCGGCGGGGGCGATATGGCGGCGAGGGCGGCGGCGGCGAGGGCGGCGGTGGTGAGGGTGGCGGCAGCGAGGGCGGTGGCGAGGGTGGCGGTGGCGAGGGTGGTGATGGTGACGGCCGCGAGGGCGGCGGCGGCGAGGGTGGCGGCGGCGAGGGTCGTGGGCGACGCCGTCGCAGCCATGGCGCGCTCTCAAAACCGCAAAAGCAACCCGAGCCAGACCCCCCGCTGTCCGAGCTACCCTCGTGCTTCCTGCCAACCGAACAGGGAGAGCCGGCGCCCAGCGGGTTGAAACCAATGAGCTCGACGTTCGCGAAGGTGCGGCTGTCGCAAGAGAGGGCCGCGAAGCTTGAGAGAGAGGAGGGCGTGACGGATCATGAGATGAGACTTGAGAGATCGTGCTCGCCCATTATCGGAGCTTCATGAGATGTCGGAGCGTGAGATATCGGAGGTCTGAGATGTCGGAAGGTACATCGTGTATTCTCAGCCTGTAATGTCGGCGCAGTGGATGGACAATGCGGAACCGGAAGTCGATTAACATAATAAAGTGCGGCTACCGACCGAGCGCGCGTGACCCGGCCGACGTCGGTCGTCTCCCTCGTCACTGCACCCTCCCGCCTGCGCCTCCTCTGCCTGCGCCTCCTTCTGCCTGCGCCTCCTCTGCCAGCACCTTGGCTCTTGGCACCTTGGCTGTGAGCACCTCCGCTAAGTGGAGGTCTGCTCGAGATATGCCGGTTGACGAACAGGCGGAGCCCCACCGGCGCCCCGGACGACTACTCCGTCAACGGCACGGGGATGCAGTGCGCGACACAGCCGGTATGGAGAAGGCGCTTCCAGCGCAGGGAGGGGGGCGCCCTTCTCTGCACACCACATGCTAGGGGAGGGGGGGGTCCCGACCCCCCCAGCGCCTTCACCACATGCTAGGGGGCGGGGTCCCGACCCCCCCAGCGCCTTCACCAGCGCCTTGTGGGTGTGGTCGGCGACTAGCGGCTCCGGGCACCGCGGCGGCGAGGGTGGTGATGGTGGCGGCCGCGAGGGCGGTGGCGGCGGGGGTGGTGAGGGCGGTGGCGAGGGTGGCGACGGTGGGGGCGGCGGTGGCGAGGGTGGTGATGGTGGCGGCGGCGGGGGCGGCGGCGGCAAACCCCGCAAAGTGACCCGTTTTTACCCATCCACGCCCGTGCGCGCGTATCTTAGCTAAGGTACGCGGCCACACGCGCTGGCGCGCACGGCAACCGGGACTTACACGCGCGACACGAGGGACTGCGTACTGCGGCTCCAGAGTAGATGGATCTGACCTCGGGGCCGATGTGACCAAGCGCTGGTAGCGTGGTTTGACCTCACACCCATGGTCTCACAGTGTGCCGGCAGTCGCTGAGTAGTGTCGCTCACACAAGCCGCAGCACAAGTGACTGAGGGCCAGTGAGGGCGAGCCCATCGCTGTCAAAGCTGTGGCAGCCGCACAGTAGGCTGTATCAACTGTGCAGAGTGTGTGAGCAGCAGAGGAGCTGCTCTCCAGGCTTCTGTCGCAAAGAGCTGCATGCCACCGAAGGCGCTGTCGAGGTTCGCCGAGCGCGGCGCAGATTGGAGGACACCGTCACCGACGAGTGCGTTGTGGTATTCACTCCGGACAAAGACGGCGGCACGCACACGAGCTGCGGCCGTGCCGCCGTCATAGTGGCGAGGCGCGGGACCGTCTGTGGCGAAGTGGGTCGCGTCCTCCGATTTCCGTCACAGCATCCACGCCCTTTATGCTGGAATCGGATCCTGCGAATGTCAAGGAGGCAGAGCGACGATTGCGCGAGCGGGCGAAACGTGCGCACGCGGACGAAGTGGTGAGACGGTTGCCGCACCGATAGGGTACAGGCTGTAGATGCTCTATACGGCTTTAGGGGTATGACCATGCATGTGCTAAAAGCTACCATGAAGATGAACCATGTCAAATCATGTAGTAGGCAGGTAGTAGGGATAGTTCAAAATCCGATGTTAGGAAAACTCCCGTCCCTCGCATATTCCGCGTGGACAGCCTGTGCGGAGTACGCTGTAAAGCCGTACGGTTTAGCGGTTTCCGGAGAATGTGTCACAAAAAGGTGTTTATTCCCCACAGCATTAATGGCTACTGAGTAAGTCAGAACCCCTTGTACTGGCAGGTGGCTATACAGTATCGCGTTACAGTACAGTACATAGGAAGTAGAGAGGAAGTGCCGAACGATCCGGACCAGTCAGGTCCGTCTTGTACGTGAAGCGCGAAGCAGCTCTACGGCGGCGAAGCAGCACGAGTAAGATCTAAGAAAGAGGGCTCGCCCGCCCGAAGCTAAAGCACGCGCCTACTCATGTCGCCTAGTTCCTCCAGCTCGCGTAGCATGGTGTCGCCTCAGGAATCCTACCACACCGCAAAACATGCAAATACCCTCGGACCCGCACTTACCCAGCACGAGTCCTCCGGGACCATACCCTATCACCTTGATGGGGATCGGTGAATCGCATGCTGACAATAATGACCCAATATATGCGTTCATGTAATAAGGCGCTGCGGGCCGGCTGGTCCGCATCGCGGCCGCCTTGGCCGGCTCAAATCGATTGGTGGCGTCGAGGTCCGGGGGGTGGGTGAATCTTGGACCACCAGTGACGCATCGTGAGCCGTTCGAGGGTCTGATTGCGCAACCACTCGTCCTCGAACGCGGGCGCGTGGAGCTTGCGCCACTGTGCGAGCATGCTTATGTTGATGTCGGTCCAATTGCTCACGCGCACCACTGGCCAGCCGTCGTACATGGTGGCACCCGGAAAATCGCGCATGATCGGGATGGCGCCGGAAAGGATGGCTGAGAAGAGCTTGGGATTTGGGTCGATCCCGCCACCATGAACGCAGAGCAGGAATGGATACTTTTGCACAACTGCACTGAAGCCCTCGTTAGTCGTGCTGGCCACGTCGCACCAAGGCCAAGGTGTACTGTTGCACAAGTCTCTGACAAACTGTCGTTCGTGGAACTGCCGCCCGCCTCGCTGCCGCCCGATTTCCACCACCCGGAGCGGCAGTGATTGGATTCGCACTTTTCGCGGCGCGGACGCCAGTGACATGCCCCCAGCATCGCGAGGATTCATCCCGGTCGGGATGGGACTGACCTTGCTGCTCGCCACTGCAGCATCGAGATGCTCGACGTAAATGTGCAAAATGCGCTCATCTTTGAGCCAGTTCGCCCAGGTGCTCGACCTGAGCACGCGCGGGTAACGAACGTCCGTCTGCAACGGCGTCGTCTTGTCGTGGTCGCCCGTGATGAGCACCACGCCATGGCGCCGCGGGATGCAATGCAGCAGCGACTCTGAGAAGGTCTCAAGCTCGTCCGTGTTCACGAATATGGTTCCAGGCACGGTGTACGGGTCGCCCCACACGGTGAAGCCGGGCAGTTGTCCCCAATGCTCATAGCGCGAGCCGACAACCCAATCGCAGTGCGCTGCCAGTGAACACGGCGGAGGATTAGTCTGCACGACAGAGAAGAGCTCGTCTTTTTGCACGGGCTTGGGCGTCCAGTTCCGGAAGTTGTACTTGAAGGGGCCGTCACGAGGAACGCCGGCGTCATGACCCCGCCTCGGGTAACCCGAGGAACGTTCCTCGGGTGTTTGAATGTGATTGTAGATCTGGAGTACGCACTCGCCGAACGAGACATTGTTCTGCCGCTTCCGCATCTCGGCCTGCAGTGGGGGGACGGCGGGGCGTGACACGGCCATCATGCCGTCTGGCGAGAGTGCCCCGGCGCGGCCCCGTGCCTGCAGCCTCTGCGGCTTTGGCGCCGCCTTCGCACGCGCGCCCCACTTGGTCAACGGCACGCCGCCTGTTCACAGAGCGGTCGCCTCAGCGGCGAAAGGGAGCGTTCGGAAGCTCCGCTGCGCACGCGCGGGTGGGGCGTAGAAGGACGCCCCAAAACCAGAGGCTGCGAACGAGCACGCGGCACATGTCTTTTATCGGCGGCGATTGGCGCGAGAAGAGGCCGCGGAGACCGCCGGGAACGAGGGGGTAGACTCACGGTTCCTACCAGCCGCGCTCACCCACGTCGATTAAACACCGCCTACTCACACGCGGGGGGAAGAGCCGCAAGATATGCACGCCAATTAGTCAATACGGCCGGACGAGTATAAAAGCAATCATCAATTATGAACTTTGCGTATTAGGCCCCGGTACAGCGCTGCAGCTGCTGCAGGCTAAACATGCTCTGAGGATTACTGCAGACCGCTGAGTGACATGCTGCGGACTTCCGCGGATTACGGACTATTACCGCACCGCTGCGCATTATTACTGCATTATTACTATCGCTATTTCTGTGGACTAATGACTGTTATGAGTCGCCCAGTACATTGCTGCACGACTACTGCTGCAGACTGCGCATTAGTACTGTCACTACTGCCGATACACGCTATTACTGAGGATCACTACAGACTACGGACTAATGCTGCGGACTACTGCGCAGTACCGCGGAACGGATGCTGCGGATTACTGCGGACTGTTGCGGATTATTGCTACTGCGTACTGCTGCGCATACACATAATTAGGACTGCACACTACTCTGCGGACTGCTGCGGACTGCTGCGGACTACTGCGCGGTCCCGGTAGCTGCAATAACTATGATTATTAAGAGGCGCCCAGTACAGCGCCCAGTACAGTGCGACTAACCAACTAGTGCGACTACTGCTGCAGACTGCGCATTATTACTGTCGACTACTGCGGATTACACGCTTGTACTGTCGATTACTGCGGACTACTGACTGCGGTACTGTGATAATCTCGGGGAAGCTCTCAGGCAATGATCAGGGTGAAGACGCCAGCCAGAGCCCACGGGGCGTACCATATTAATGAATGACTAATTACTATATGGGCGGCGAGTACTTGCTGCTTTTTCCTAGTAGAGTTGTCCGTTTTCATTTATGTTAGTAATTAGAAGGCGCACGAGCGCGTGTTAGTTGAAGTCTGAGAAGAAGAATGAAAGACTAAGATTAGCCATAGGCGCAGAGGCGTGATGGGCGAATCATGTTAATGAGTGAGAATCAGTGATTAATCGCCACAGCCGAGGCAATCCTGTGTCAGTCTCGGCTGGGGGGTCGATCTCGGAACCTCTGCGCAGCTGCAGCGGAAAGGACCCGCCTACGCGATGAAAAAGAGAGAAACGAGAGTCAAAGAAGATGTCTTCTGTTTATGAGGGGCTATTCGGCAACCTCGCCTAATAGACAGAAAAAGAAATCAAACCCCGACGTGCCGCGATGCAGGACTAACGCAAGCTTGTTGACCAGGAAGGTTCAGCCGGAGAGAGTAGAGCTGCACCTACGGGACAGCACGCTGCGGCGTGAGCGTCGAGACGAGGCCGTCGGCACGCGCTGTCTGTCGCGTCCACGGCGCGCTCGGACTGGAGCCGGGCGGCGACTGGCGAGCAAGCGGGAGACAGGAAGGGCGGTCCGGCGCGGGCTCGCGCGGGACAAGGGTGGCGAATGGGCAGCAGCGGACGCGTCTAGCGGCTCCGCGCTGGCAGCGGCCGTACCTGCGGGCGGGAGGGAGCAGGCGGTGCCAGGCTGAGGAGGATGTGCAGCCGCACGTGCGGCGAGCGAGGGCGCATCGCTCGGCGGGAGCGATGCGGGCACGGCTGGCTTCGCGAGCAATAGGCGTCGCGGGGATCCAGGCGTGTAGCTTGCGGCGGCACCGAAGGTGCGATGCGGCGGGCAGCGCGAGAGTCAACGGGCTCGCCTCCTCTTTGCGGCGTCTTGCTTGAGTGTTCCTTGCGGCGTCTCAGAAAAAAAATTCTTTCTCCGGGGAAAGCGCGACCGCTAATCTAGATCAAGTCATGTTGATGCCGTACTTCTTGGCGATCTTCGGGTAAAGGCTTTACTCCGGGCGGCGTGCGTCTGCGATCGGCATCGGGGTAGACATGTGCACGGCTGGTAGCTCCGTTTCCTGTAGGAACACACCTCGCTCTCCCCTTCCTTTCTCCGTAACCCTAGCTTCAGGAGGTTCACCACGGGAGCCGCCTAAGCAGAAAAGAAAAGCGGTTGGCAAGAATGTTGGGTCTAGTATAGGAGCCGATCGCTTTTCCACGCTCACGTCGAGCCGAGCTCTCTACGGCGGGCGTCGCTGTGCGGGGCGCCCGTTTGCCGCTGACCCGAGCGGAAAGCTATAGGGAGTACTCCCGCACAAGCCGGGGGGAATCGAGTCGAGAGACTCAAGGCGAATTTCATCGCCCGTCCAGGCGCCCCGCATTAGGTAGCGACCCCAGGTTAAGAGCCAGGGCTGGGGAGCTGGCCTGCTCAAATGGTGAACTCCTGTCGTCTGTTGTGATGTTGTGCCCTTGTTTGTTTCTCTTGGCACCTTGGAGTGCTGGGGGGGGCGACAGGAAGAATGCGGCCCTGAGTTATGTGTACGCCAACTCAGGGTGTGTGGCAGCCAGCTGGCTGTGTGTCTTGTGAGCTTGTTTGTGTCTGTGAGTCGCTCGTGCGTGTCGTCATCATCTGTCTCGCGTCCACCCATACCGCGTTGGTGTCCAGTCCGAGCCTGGCTGCTCTTCACCTTTCTACCTACCTACCTACCTACCTCGCTCTGCGTGATGCCGCTCGAGCTTGGGCGTGCACGCAAGGGGCCACGCGCAAGCAAGAGCAAACAACTGGGAAGTTCACAGCTGAGCTTTCCCAGAGACGCCGTACTCCCCCAGAACGCCGTTCTCACCCAGAATCGGGCATGAAAATGTACATGAGCATTGGGGACGACTGCCCGGCTTCACCGTGTGGGGCGACCCGTACACCGTGCCTGGAACCATATTCGTGAACACGGACGAGCTTGAGACCTTCTCAGAGTCGCTGCTGCATTGCATCCCGCGGCGCCATGGCGTGGTGCTCATAGCGCGAGCCGACAACCCAATCGCAGTGCGCTGCCAGTGAACACGGCGGAGGATTAGTCTGCACGACAGAGAAGAGCTCGTCTTTTTGCACGGGCTTGGGCGTCCAGTTCCGGAAGTTGTACTTGAAGGGGCCGTCACGAGGAACGCCGGCGTCATGACCCCGCCTCGGGTAACCCGAGGAACGTTCCTCGGGTGTTTGAATGTGATTGTAGATCTGGAGTACGCACTCGCCGAACGAGACATTGTTCTGCCGCTTCCGCATCTCGGCCTGCAGTGGGGGGACGGCGGGGCGTGACACGGCCATCATGCCGTCTGGCGAGAGTGCCCCGGCGCGGCCCCGTGCCTGCAGCCTCTGCGGCTTTGGCGCCGCCTTCGCACGCGCGCCCCGCTTGGTCAACGGCACGCCGCCTGTTCACAGAGCGGTCGCCTCAGCGGCGAAAGGGAGCGGACGGTGCTCGCCTATACCGGCTAGTGTGGAGCTTTCAGTGTGGTTGCGTGTTTTACTAGTGATGCTGCACTAGGCGGCCCGTTTTTAGCAAAAACCAGATACCACATCGCGTGTGGTCGTCGAAAAACCGCATCTTCGCCCGTTTTGGACCCCTTCGTACGGCTCCAAAAACGGCTCCTTAACGACGACTACGCGGCCCGGCGGTCGATCTGCGCCTTCTCAGCGGTGGAGGGGATGTGGGCGGTACGTGCGGGCCGCGTGCTGCTGCGACGGTTTGACGAGTGCGACTCCCAGCGTCGACTCTGCGACCCCACGGAGCCTCTGCTGCTCCGGGGGGGGGGGTCTGCAGACCACCCGGCCGAACTTCAGAGTCGCGGTGCTCCTCAAATACCGCTCAAACGCCCACGATGTTGTGGAGGGGACATATGCTGATGATCCTGGCCCGATTGGTTCGCTCAGAAAGCTTCTGGGCGGTCGCTAAGGTTCGCTCCCCGCACACCGGCCCCGGAATAAGATACATCATAATTACAAACACGGTACAGGATCGAGGTGCACGCTGCAGTGTGCAGAAGCAGTGTCGTCCCCCCTCCCCCCGACGGCGATGGCGGTGAAAATATAAGGGTCGAGCAGGTTTCGAACTGGCGACCTACTGCTGACTAGCTGTACATAGTCGCGATTTGCCGGCGTGCGTATGAGCTCACTAGCTAGAGCTCACACTAGAGGCCGTCATCGCATTCGCAGTCTAGGTTGGCGTTGACTTGGGGGTGCAACAGACAACACGGAGTGGCAAGTATCAACACACACATGGAGCATGTACCGCACATGCTTTGGACCGAACCCCTGCAAGCGCGCCTTCGCCGGCTCATAATGGCCTCGCAAGCGAAGCGGCGAGGAGGAGGGCGAGGCTGTGCCGGTCGCGGGTGGCTTCGAGGCGCATTCTATTCTCTCGCCACACGCGCCTTCCTAGACCGGTGTAAACCGGGGAAGGTTTTCCGTGCACAATTGTACGTACTCTCTTCTCTCTCAATTGTAAGGACTTTAAATGCCGTGGGGCTCCTGTCGTTAGACGTGGAGACGCGAGGGTTGCCCCCCCTTGCCCCACCACCTCGTGTGTGTGGAGAAGTTTACCTTACCTTACCTTACCTTACTCAGCCCAAGAACCATGTGGGGCGAGGAGCGACGCTGGCGCGGCGCGCCGTTTCCGTCCACAAAGTGGTGGGTCGAGGGGGGGGGGGCGACCCTCGCATCTCCACACCCGGACACGGGGACGGGCCGGAGCCCCAAGAGAGGAAGAGGGAGGAGAGCGAGGACTAGCATCGCCCTGCTCCTCGTTGCATCTGAAAGATGTAGCAGCACGCGACCGGGTCGATGGCTTGCTGGCGCAGCAGCTCGAGCACTTTGTCCTGGTCGCTGTCGTCGCCCGGGACCATCTTCACCCGGAACGGGGCGAAGCGATGCCGTGCGTGCACCACGTCGTGGAAGGATGAGACCAGCTGCAGCGCCTGCTTGGCGTCGGCGAGGCCCATCGTCGTGCTGAAGTGGAGCTCGATGTACAGCTGGCGCACCGTGCAGAGGGCTGCAGCCGTCTCCGGAGCGGCAAACTCGCGCCACTCGCAGCCTTCGCAGTCCTGGCCACACAGGGGGGGTCATCTGAAGGGACGGCGCTGTGGCTGCACGCGACGCGGAAGCGGGCGGCGCTCACGATTTTGAGAATATCCACCTGCCTGCCGCCCGCATACCGGCGAAGGAGCTCGGCCAGAGGAGCCACGGCTTTCAGGCCAGGCACCCCGGCAGACGAGTAGACTCCGCTGTACTCGGTCGAGGTCCCCATGCCAAGCTCGTGAAAGTGCAGGTTGTGCAGGCCTTCTTCGGCCTGCAGCCGCGCCGCCTCTCGTCTGTGTCGGCCGAGCAACTCTAGAGTAGGGTCGAACGAGTGGACCTCGCAGCCCGCCTTCGCCGCGGCAACGTCGAAGGTCCACTCGCCTCCGATGCCGATGGAGAAGACCACACATGGCGGGGTCAGCTCACAAATCAGCCAGTCGTTGGCCCTGGGACCCGACTTTCGACATGAAGCCGGTGCGCTGATGGGTCGCATCGGCAGGAAGCGCTGCATTCGAGCCTCTGCCCAAGCGCGCACCTCGTCGTCGCTGTTCTGAAGCGAGACCTCTGTGATGTTGTACTTGCGCAGCAGCCGGGTGTGGCGACGGAGAAATGGCGTCTCGTCATCGCTAGGGCCCTTGTGGCGCCAGTACTCGCAGCAGTGGCTACCGCACGTCGGCGGGCCGCACTGGGCGTTCCGACACGAGCGTGGGCACTGCGCTGCGACCGCGCTCAGTAGAAGTGTGCCGTGCAACAACGAGGCAAGAAGCATGGTGCCGGTGACCTTGATCAGACCCGCTCTGCTATGTCGAGGTCTCTGGCTTTCTCTCATTCTCTGGTGTGTCTCGCGCCTTGCGGGGGGGGGAGCGGAAAGGAGGAACCTCTTCCCAAGAGCACCACTCTTGGAGCGCCGCCACTATACCACCCAGACAGAGCGCTGCAAGCAGCGCCGGGCAATGGCGGCTTACCGCCCACCCAGCCCCCCCTCGGCACACCCCGGCAGCCAATCAATGTGTGACGGCTCGAACCCGCTAAGCCATCCCGCAAGCGGGATGGCCCGCCACTCGAACCCGCAAAGCGGGCGTACGAACCGCGAGCGGCTCGCACTCACTCGTGACACGCAGGCGTCCGACAGACGGCGCCGGGGCTAGGCGACCGAAGAGGAACTACGGCAAGAACCGCACACCACCCGCTGACGAGCGCTCGCGGAACTGGTCCGCGGCGCCCGCCAGGGGCGTGCGCGAGACAGGGCTCGAAGCCCTTTTCTGTGAGCAGGGATTCCCTCCCGGCGGGGGTTGTGGCGGAGAGCCGGCATGGGAATCGCCGGCCCCCACCCAGGGGGTGCCCCTGCCAGGCGCCGCAAGCGGTGCCCGACATATGATGTATCTTATTCCGGGGCCCGTGTGCGGGGAGCGAACCTTAGCGACCGCCCAGAAGCTTTCTGAGCGACCCAATCGGGCCGGGATCATCAGCATATGTCCCCTCCACAACATCGTGGGCGTTTGAGCGGTATTTGAGGACCACCGCCACTCTGAAGTTCGGCCGGGTGGTCTGCAGACCCCCCCACCCGGAGCAGCAGAGGCTCCGTGGGGTCGCAGAGTCGACGCTGGGAGTCGCACTCGTCAAACCGTCGCAACACCACGCGGTCCGCACGTACCGCCCACATCCCCTCCACCACTGAGAAGGCGCAGATCGACCGCCGGGCCGCGTAGCCGTCGTTAAGGAGCGGTTTTTGGAGCCGTACGAAGAGGTCCCAGACGGGCGAAGATATGCGGTTTTTCGACGACCACACGCGATGTGGTATCTGCTTTTTGCTAAAAACGGGCCGCCTAGTGCAGCATCACTAGTACAACACGCAACCACACTGAGAGCTCCACACTAGCCGGTATAGGCGAGCCCCGGCGGCCTCACCGTCGCCGCTCGCGGCGGAGCCGACGGCGGAGCCACGGGCCGGTGCGACCTTTTGGGGGGGCATGAGCTCGCCAGGACGTCACCGATGGCTCGGCGCGCCTCTTCCCGCCAGCGCGGGACGGCCTGCCTACAGGAGGGAGGGGGGGGAGACGGAACTGAGCCCTAGGTTCGTGCAAAAGCGCCGGCAAGGGCTGGGAGAGGGGCGGCAAGCGACGGGCGGGTGAGCGACCTTTTGAGCGCCCATGAGCCGGCAGGGACGCCGGCGATGGCTCGGCCAGCTCCTTCCCAGCGGGTTCTCGTCGGGCCGTGCCTGGTCGGCGGGCTCGGGTGAGGTGAGCGGGCCCGGGAGTCGCATCTGCGCGTCCCCGGCAGTGGGAGGCAGTGTGGGGGTAGATGGGAAGTGCGGAGATGGGAGGCAACGCGCCTGTTTGATGTGGCCGCACGAGGCAAAGTTGGGCGCTCCGAGCGTCTTCTCGGCGAGAACGAACGGGCTGTGCATCGTCGGGGGGGTGACTGAGAGGGAGGTGCCCGTGGTCGTGCGCGCACTTTGTCGGCCGCGCGCGAGGTGAATACTAAGTGTGAGGCGCGCAGGAGGCGAGAGTGGGCGCGCCGGCGGTCGAGCCGCCGAACAATTCGACGTCGCGCAGCTCCGCGCCGGCGGGCACGACCGAGCAGATGCTGTCGGCGGCGGCGGTCACGCGACGAGCGAGAGCCGCAGGGGCCCTCTGAGAGCCAGGCGCCGAAAAGCGACGTGAGTGGCGGCGCGATCAGCCACCTGTGGGCGGTCATCGGGGTGGCGCCAAGCCTCAGCGAGCTGGATCCGGGAAGGGCAAGGGGTCGCGCGGGCCCTGTCTGCAGCAGCAGTGCTAACTAGAACGACAAAATTCCGGATGGACCGGAGAGTGTCTACATTCTCGAGGCACCGTTCTCGGCCCGGCCGGAAAGCTGGCTGGTGGTCGCGCGCGGCGCGTCAGCGCCACTCCGACTGGTCGGGCACCTCGGCTGGGTCCATCGGCAAGAGGCCCGCGCCGTCGGCCAGCCCCGCGAGCGCATGGGCGGCCGGCGCGAGCGGAGAACGACGGGCCAAGATCGGCTGGTTTGGCACGAAAAACGAGAACCGCGAAGGGGGGTCCGAATAAGTTACATCATAGACAGGGGCGGGTCTCTCTTGTTAGGTTAGGTAGGAAGGTGAAGAACAGGTGAGGAGCCAGGAAGAAGAAAAATGCCATTTCTCATGGCCACCACCCTGGGTTCCGGCTCCTACCCAGATAGGGGGTCTGTTCCCCACGGTTAGACCCTATGCAATAGGTAGGTAGGCCATGCTCTGGCGGGCTCGCGAGCGGCGCGCACCGCGGTACAAGCCGGCTGGGAGCCTATTCACAGAGGGCTAACGGGTATTTTTTCGCTTCGCTGCGCGGCCTGGGAATAGGTAGGTAGGTGGGGCACGGACGGAGCCTGGCGGTCGGCGCCCGCAATAGGTAGGTAGGTAGGGCGTTTTGGTGCGAGTCATGGGCAACAGACCCCCTATCTGGGTAGGAGCCGGAAACCTGGGCTGGGCGCCGTCTCCCGCCGAGCTCGGTTTTTTAATTTTTTATTGCTGAGCTTAGCCTTCGATGTTATGAAACCAAAGGGCTACACCACGCCCTCTACGCTGGGGTGCCGGCGCCCTAAGCGTTCCCTTTCGTCGATCGTCGATCGCGGCTCCCTCCCTCCCGGATGCCTGACTCCCGGTGCTCCGTCCGTCTCGTGCGTCAGACCAGCATTGCTCCATGCAATCCAGGAGTGAGCTTCGGCTGCCTCGCCAACGACCCGCGGCAGGTGTGGGTTCACAAGTGCCGTGGGATATTTCGCTGTGACGGCGGCGGGAACTTCTTGTGTGGGAACTTCTCGTACGACGGGTACCGGTACGACGGGTTGTACACCTGCGGATGCGAGCCTTCGGCGCCATCGCCTCAGCAGCCGTGTCGGAGGGCTGCGACGCGCGCTCGCCGCCACCGTTGCCCCTCTGGCGGCCCCATCTGCATCTTTGTCCTGACCGAAGCTGGCAGGCCTGCGTATCTCGACCGGCTCGTCTCTGTCGCTGTCACCTGGGCGACGACGCCGCTGCCTGCAAACACGAGCCTTCATTTTGTGCTCTCCGCCCACGGGATCTCTTCGCTCTTTGACCAGAAGAACCTCTCGAGCCGCGTTGCCTCGCTCCGTGCTTCCGCGGCTGCGAGGCTGGCCAAGCACATGGCGGCATCAGCGCCGCACATCTCGGAGAGGACCCCGGCGCTCCGAAACGACAACCTTGTCGTCCTGGACGACTCCATCCGCGACAGCTTCAGGCTCGAGCCACGAGCCTACGCGCAGCGCCTCGAGTGGGCATTCCACGCGGCGCGCGAGCGCTTTGCCAGCGCGTGTGAGTGGATCGTGATGACCGAGGACGACACGTATGTCGACATGCACGCGGTGCGCTGGGCGGTCGACTGCCTGCTGGCTCCGGTGAGAGAGCGCCAGTTCTGGTACACTGGTCAAGTGTTTGGCCACAGCTGGGGCGACTTTGTTCACGCGCGGGAGGCGACCAGTTCGACGCGGAGCTGTGAACGCGTCTCTTTACGTCTGCCAGGCTGTGAATAGGGCGACTTTATGCTCTTGAACCGGAAGGCCTTCGTGTGGACAGACGATGCCATCCGCCACTGCCCGCTGGCGCGCGTCTTCTGGAGCGACAGGTGGCTCGGCGGCTGCATCAGGCACGCTGCAGGCTGGCCCAACTACCCAGAGAGGCCGAAGCATCCCCTCGACTACCACCGTGCGCCAGAGATGAGGCCGAAACGGTGGCCATCTGCGATCACTGTCGACACCTTGACGGCGCTCCCGGACCTTGCCAAAACGCTGCTACGCGCGAGACGAGCGCGCGGGGCCAACGACTCGGCCGGGCGGTGGCGCCTAGCCGGCGCTCGGGCCCAAAGTCTTCAGCTGGGACTGCTGCGCTCGACGAGCTACCACAAATTGTCTCCAGACGACATGCTGGCCGTCCACGCCATCCTCCAGGAGGACGACCTCGCCCACGCGCGACGCGAGCTCTTCTCGCGGGGAGGAGGAAGGGCGCGCGCAGAGTCAACAGAAAGAATGGGAGCGCACGCACTGTGCTCGGAGCCCCGCCAGCGCCTGCGCTCCTAAGCGCGTCCGTGCTAGAGCTAGGGGGGGAGTCCTGAGCCATTCGGCGCGTGAGGTGAGGCGCGGGGCGCGGCATTGCAGAATCCCAATGTGCAGTTATGTTTTTTTTGAGAGCGCCTTCGTTGTTAATAGTACAAACCCAATGGTCCTCTGCGAGCGGTCCTTCGTTGCAGTCGCGCACACGCACACGCCATGCCGCACCGCGCGCCCGCCCACCGCCCCGCCCAGGCGGGAAAGAGATGAGGAGATGGGACAGCAAAGGAGGAGCACGAGCACGTATGGGAGGGTTCATTCTGTGCGTGTTTGCTGTGAGATAGAGAGGCTTTTGCTTATAGAATTTTCTTCGTGCTTGCATTTCTTTTGTGTGACGGCCTCTTCGACGGCCCATAAGGGGCCGTTGTCTGCTGTGCCTTTTGTGGTGCTAGTTCGTGCCAGTCTGCTAAAAGAAAGAAAGAAAACAGACAACCCAAGGGAGGGATGGGAGGACGGCACGCCGCCACCACACAGGGATTTTAAGGAGAGGGGTGTGATGCGCTAGCCGTCGCCCACCCTAGGGGGTCTGCCTCTTCCTATCTCTTTTCGCAGTCTCTCGCCGCTTCTCGCTGCAACCTTCATGCCACCTCGCGGCCGCCAGTCTGCTAAAAGAAAGAAAACACACAACCCAAGGGAGGGATGGGAGAACGGCACGCCGCCACCACACAGGGATTTTAAGGAGAGGAGGGTGTGAAGCGCTAGCCGTCGCCCACCCTGGGGGGTCTGCCTCCTCGTATCTCTTTTCGCAGTCTCTCGCCGCTTCTCGCTGCAACCTTCATGCCACCTCGCGGCTGTCCCACTCTCGTCGTTCTCTCCCTTGTCACTTCCCCCTCTGTCTCGTCGTTCTCTTCTGCCTCGTCCTGCGACGCCGCCGCCTGCCGGTCCCTTGTTCTCGCGGCTTCTTTCGCCTCTCGGCGCAACTCCGTCCTCCTTGCGGCGTATCCTGGCCCCTCGAGTCTATCGAGCTCCCCTCGCGCAAGGACCACATTTGTGTGTGTGCCGTCGTCTGCGCCTTGTCTGTCGTGTGAATCGTGCGTGTGGGAGAGCCTTTTGTTGTGAAAATTCTGTGTGTGAGCCGCCAAAAGTTCCTTCTTGCACGCCGTCGGATGGTTTCCCACCCTGCGACTGCTCTTCTGCTCTAGGATGGCTGCCGAGGCACATGACGGCCTTCAGCGCGAGGTCGATCGCCGCACGATCGTCGGTGCGATTCTCAGTCACGAGCGCGACAGGCTGCAGCCGACTCGGAGGCCGATGCCGACGGAGGAGGCGCACGTTAGCCAGCGCAGCACCGGTCGTCTGCAGCGGCGAGGCGTGCGCAGCAAAAGGGTGCCCGATTGGGGGGCCCTCTTTGCCTACCATCCGCGTCGGCAGCTGAACGCGACGCTCTGCGTCGGCAAGGATGGCGACGGCTGCCTGGACCGCCTCAGCTCGGGCAAGGGCCAGAAGAAGAGTTACTTTACGGTGTGCTCGAGCACACCGCCGCCTCCACGCAGACACAACCACGACACGCCCGCGACACGACCACCACGCGCCCGCGACGCGCCCGCGACGTGTCCGAGCAGGTCCCGCTGCGAGGCTTCTCGCTCGCGCTCGACGAGGCGCCTCGCCTGCCCGCCGCGCTCTCCGCCGCCTCGCCTCGCTCCCCTGCCGCCGATGCCGGCGCCACGGCGGGCGCTGTGGCGCCGCCTCTGCTGCTGCTCGGGCTGATCAGCGGCAGCCGCGAGCGGCGCCGCTCCTAGATGCCAAGGGACACGCGTGTCTGAACTCCTTCATGCGCCCGAGAGTGCACGTGGCATCGGCTGACGTGGGAGAGGGAGGCTCGCACTTCCGCACGCAGGCGCGCGCTGCTGCGCTGTACGTGGCTCAAGCTCGGCGGGGGCTCAGCGGGGCTGCGGGTCAAGTTTGTGGTGGGGCACGGCCGGCCACTCGAGGACAGCGCCGACTTGCTGGTCGTCAACGTGACGGAGGGCGAGCGGATGCGGAGCGACACGGATCCGCGCAATTGCCCCGCCGGGAAGATTTGCACGGGCTCCGTCGCAACCTATTGGAAGCTCGCCGCCTTTCTGCGGTACGCGGCCACTCAGCCGGAGCCGATGATCGGGCGAGGCGACGATGACGTCTTTCTCTCGCCGCCAATGCTTCTGGCGCACGCGTCACTGCTTGCGCGCCTCTCCCAGCCGGTGTTTGCCGGTGTGTTCGAGTGGTACTCGTGGCGCACGCAGACACTGCACTCGACGGGGTTCGGACTCTCTGCCGGCGCCGCTCGGCACGGCCGCAAGAAGGTGTGGCGCAACTGCACCAGCGCGCGCAAGGCGCTGGGGCACGACGCCGCTCAGCACCCTGTCTCGTTGACGACGCCGAGGCAGCCCGACTTGTGCGTGGGGCCGCTCGCCTTTGCAAAAGGGCCTCTGGTGATGCTCTCCTCGTCCGCCGTCCGCTGGCTCGTCAGGAGCCCCCTCTTTTCGCGCGACCTGAAGCGTGCACGCGAGATGATGGACGGGCGGGCTCCCCCGTACCACGGCCCTGGCTCCGGACGGATCGACGACGACGTGCAGCTTGGGTACTGGATGGCGCAGCTGCCGCACCTGCGCGTGGTTGGCTTCCGGCGGTACATGGCGTGGCACGACCGCTGGAAGGCGGGCGTGACCGGCTACCTGCCAAGGCTGCTGCAGGCGCACAAGGTGCCGTGGGACAAGCAACGCACCCTCTGCAACCAGACCCGCGCGGTGTGGTCGAAAGCGCGCCGCGCCTCCGTCTCGCTGCACTGCGACAGCAGCCCGCCCTGCCGGGACTGCGCACACGTGCAGATTAGCCGAGAGGAGCCGAGAGGAGCCGAGAGGAGCCGAGAGGAGCCGAGAGGAGCCGAGAGGAGCCCGCCGTTCCGGGATTGCTCCCCACGAGCACTTGTGCACTAGCGTCAGTCCCAGCGCCGCCGCGGGAAAAGGCGCCGCCCACGCGTTGCTCCGTGAGCAGGTGCCCACTCAGAAGGCGTGCGCGATCGACGTCGCGCTGGACCTCGGGCCGAGCTGGAGACCGCCGCCCACTTGCGCGCCCGTCTGCAACTTCAAAAAGGGGTCCGAGCCGCAGCTGCCCGGGCAGTGCTGGGCCCCGTGACGCGGGGTAGCCCGCTCAGGGGGGGCGGCAGCATCACGTGCTCGTGAAGGCGGCGCCGGGCTCGACACAGATCACAGTCAACCGCGCACAGACGCACGTCTCTCTCGACGCATGTCTCGCTCTCTCCCTCTCTTGCACGCCTGTGCCCTCGCAGTATTTAGGTATGCTCTGGTGGGCCTGTGTATTTTGTCTGTGTCCAGGCGTTTTTGTCGTGTGCTGGGTACTCGTGCGCAGCGGGCGCGCGCGCCTTGAAGATGTGCGTCGGAGCTCGCGGATGGGCGACGCCGGTCGGCTCGTCGCCGCGCGGGAGCGCTTCTCGGCGCGAGTCTGCGGCGAGTTCGGCTCGCGCAGTGACATGTTGAGAAGCAGAAGGGGCCCGAAGGCAGGAGACTAGACTTGCGCCCCGCAACGAAATAAATATCTTTACTTCCAACACCCAACCTGTTTGTGGAGCTCCCGCAGATTTTAGGTAAGTAGTGCAGGTAAGGTAAACTTCTCCACACACACGAGGTGGTGGGGCAAGGGGGGGCAACCCTCGCGTCTCCACGTCTAACGACAGGAGCCCCACGGCATTCAAAGTGCAAGGTCCGTTGCGCGTGGGTGAGCGGTGTGTGTGTGTGTGTGTGTGTGTGTGTGTGTGTGTGTGTGTGTGTGTGTGTGTGTGTGTGTGTGTGTGTGTGTGTGTGTGTGTGTCACGTCACTGCATCCTCTGTAGATCCTAGCGCCCAGCCATCCGCCCCAGATGTGAGATCGTAGATTGAAAATGGAGGTCGTAGATTGCTGCCGGCGGCGACAGTGGCCAAGTAGAAGATTGGAGGTTGGAGATGAGAGCTGGTCAGTGTGAATGAATCCATAGCGCATCTCCTTGAAGGTTTGAGCCCCCCTCCTCCCCCGGGCCCCCGAATCGAGATTGGAGATTGGAGATTGGAGATTGGAGATTGGAAATGGAGATGGAGATCGGAGATCTGACTGAATCCGGCCTAAGATGACGACGTTGGAGATTGGAGATTGAAGATGGAGATCGGAGATCTGACTGGATCCCCGCCCTAAGATGACGACGCTGTGGATTGGAGAGTATTGGAGGTGGGGAGATCGGAGCTCCCCCACACCCTAGTGGTGTGTGATAGATGTTTTTTGCACGAATACGTCTTCTTTGCCTTCCCCGTCCTCATCGCGATCAAGTTCCTAATCTGGACACGGTACTATGGGGCAAGTGACGAGGGGGCCATAGCTGTTATGCTTTGCTATGTTCCGTTCGAGGTCATCTTCTTTTTCGTGTTCCGGTTTGGACAGTTTGGACAGTGAGTCAGCGCTGCTGTCCTTTTCTTTACACCAAAAGGAGGGCTACACGACACCCTCTACGCTGGGGTGCCGGCGCCCTACTGGGCGCCCCCCGCTCCCTTCCCCTCAGAGCCCCCCATCCCACTAGCATCCCCCCGCTGTCCTTTTGGATGGGTTATGGGTACAGGCTACAGGACCCTAAGTATGTGGCTTTAAGTTTCCTCGTCTGGTTTAAGGTTTGCGCCTGTAACTCAGTGTGTTCGAGGGTGCGCCACCCTCGTAGCTCGTTTGCAGGCCGCACTTTGCCGCACCGTGAGCGACGTACCGACGTTCGCCAGTCCCACCACTTTTTGTGTGTGGAGCGAAATTTACCTTACCTTACTCCTTAATCTAACCACTTCGCCACAGATGGTCCCGCGCCTCGCCGCTAAGACCGCTGCACAGACACGTATGTCCGTCGGAGTGAAAAGTCCAACACGGAACACGCACACAGTGTGCGGGAGTTGGTTTGTCGGGAGGGAGGGGCAGGCTGCTCACCCACGTGCACCGGGCCAGTCGGCTTGCACTTTGTGAATGCCGTGGGGCTCACACTGCCCGTGTCCGTGTGTGGAGATGCGAGGGTCACCCCCCCTTGCCCCCCACCACTTGGTGTGTGTGGAGAAATCTACCTTGCCTTACCTTACGCACACGGAACACGCACTCCCACTCGTCGGTGACGACGGTGTCCCCTCCAGCTCGCCTCCACACCCTGCACACCCCGTACCACCTCTTAGAGCGCACTCAGACCTTGCGTCGCAAACGTGTTTTCTTTTCGTGCTCCACCATCGTCCTGGCTGCGCCCCCCCCCCCGCGCAAACGCCCAGCTGGTCGTCCTCCCTGGCCAACTTGGCCTACGGGTCGCTGGCCACCCCCTTCCCGGACCCTTATGCTTTTCCGAACCCCT